ACACCCATACACATAAAATAGGTAGGTGAGATGGCTCATAGGATAAAAGGCTGTTCTCAGGCTTGTTATCTCCCTGCCTCAGAGTCTCAATGTGGTCACATAAGGAGACAGGAGATCAGGAGACATTATCCAGAGGGTGAGAAAGCTTGAGAACACTCAGCCCTAAATGGGATATATCCATCAAATTCCCTTCCTCAGAGCTCAGAGAACGTGGCAGAATAGAAGTTACAAAGAATGTAAGAGAGACGCAGAGCTGGGAAAAGGGAGGCCGTGGAGGCGGAGGCGGAGGCAGCGCCAGGCGCGGGGCGAGCGACGGAACGGTGGGGGCTGGGCACGCAGAGCAGCCCGCGACCCGCGGCGGGAGGACAGGAGCCACGCGTCGCCCGCGTCCCCCCCAGCCGCACTTTCGTCTGACCTGCTAGTGGAGCCGGAGAGGGGATCGCGAGTCAGGTTCTGCATAGCCTCCGGCGAGGGCTGGTCCATCCGAAGGCTCCTTCAACAGCGGGAGCAGGCCGGCCACCATGACCGAGAACTCCACCTCCACCCTGGTGGCGAAGCCCAAGCGGGCCAAGGCCGCCAAGAAGTCCACGGACCAGCCCAAGTATTCAGACATGATCGTGGCTGCCATCCAGGCAGAGAAGAACCGCGCCGGCTCCTCGCGCCAGTCCATCCCAAAAGTACATCAAGAGCCACTACAAGGTGGGTGAGAACGCCGACTCCCCGATCAAGTTGTCCATCAAGCGCCTAGTGACCACCGGTGTTCTCAAGCAAACCAAAGGGGTGGGCACCTCGGGGTCCTTCAGGCTGGCCAAGGGCGATGAGCCCAAGAGGTCGGTGGCTTTCAGGAAGACCAAGAAGGAAGTCAAGAAAGTGGCCACTCCAAAGAAGGCAGCCAAGCCCAAGAAGGCTGCCTCCAAAGCCCCAAGCAAGAAACCCAAAGCCACCCCGGTCAAGAAGGCCAAGAAGAAGCCGGCTGCCACGCCCAAGAAAGCCAAAAAGCCCAAGATTGTCAAAGTCAAGCCAGTCAAGGCATCCAAACCCATGAAGGCCAAACCCGTGAAGCCCAAAGCCAAGTCGAGTGCCAAAGAGGGCCAGCAAGAAGAAGTGACAGTGAAGGCTTTGAGTGGGGACACTCCTTCCTCCCCCCTGTTTTCTGTAAATACATTTCTCTCTTCGTCCCATCTGCAGCCCTTTGCCCATTCTATTCTGACTTTATAGAGAAAGGACAGAGTTTGGATTCCTCAGACAGACATTGTGGAACGACTCCTTTTTCCTTAACCCATTGTTCAAGGACAGCAAACAGACCTCATCTTTGTAATGATGGAAATGTACTTTTTTTCTTGATTTGATATTAACCTTATGGGGTCAGGGATGGGGGGGTTGTGTGTTTCGTTCGGTGGTTTGTTTACTACGAAGGTAAATGGAACCGGCAAACTTCTGGCTAGGTCAGGGGACCCAGGAACTAAGGTTTGTCTTTTAAGACTTTCTTAGGTTGCTTGTCCCTCATGAGCATTTCAGAACCTTTGGTTGGGAGCAGGTGATATCCCACCTGGCTGGCCAAGGAGGGAGGAAAAGTCCCTGGGTTGCCCTACCATTGGTGGTAAGTTGGGGACCTGGTTTCTTTTTCTTCTGCCCTAGTCCCTCCCCATTGTCTAAAGGGGGAAAGGGGTCCAAGTGACAGCTGGTTAGAGAAACCATAGCTCCTCACAACCAGGATCTAGCCATTGGGAAGGAGGGGTCTTTTCAGCAGTCTGGTTAACTGGGAGTGGGCTTAGGGGGAGGGGAGGGACTCAGCCAAGTGCCTCAGTGTGCCTATGGAAACTTGGGTTTTTTCCACACGATTGATGGATTGTGTCCTAGGAGGACTTTGTTCGTTTCCTTCCCCCACCCCCCTTCCTGTGTAAGATGTGGCTTTGCTTGGTGCCACTGCGTTTCTACCAGCTGCCACTTAAAAGCCCTCCAGCCTCTTACTTTTTGACTCTTTTTTAAGTAGCCAAGGAGGGGGAGAGGCAGGGAGTGGACTGTAAGACACTACGGTTGATTGGAATTTGCTAGGTAGCTTTAGAGAGCCAGAATTGTGTGCATGTGTGTATATGTATATATATCCATGTCTAAGACTAGTAGTCTCACTTTGGGAGCTGGGAGAAAAAATCTGTACAGCTGTCTTTCTCTTATTTTAATAAACTAGGAAACTCGCGCACCCTACCCCCCTTTTTAAAAAAGTGTAACTAGTGCCGAGGGAAAAATGACTGTGGTTCTAATTTTAAAACTTTAAAATAAAACTGGAAAGGAAAAAAAAAAAAAGAATGTAAGAATCAGAGGGTTTAGAGGACACAAAAAAAACAAGGCCCTCTAAATTAGCATGAGGGTTCAAAGCACACTATGAACTCACAGAAACTGAAGCAGCATGCATAGGGCCTAAACAGGTCAGCACCAGGTCCTATGTGCTTAAATTATGGCTTCCGGATTAGTATTTTTCTGTGACTCCTCAATTGTGGTCTCTGATTCTTATGCCTTCTCTTGGCCTCTTCCTTCTATTGGTTTGTCCTGCCCAACTTTGATATGCTAGTTATCTTCTTATATTTTGTTTTGTTATATTAACAAAAACAAATAAATAAACAACAAATCTAGTCACTAGGGTAAATGTTAATTGACCTGCCATTTATACGTGCTGGATATACCGTTTTCTCCAATAGAGTGACACTGGGCCTATCAACCACTCCAAGGCAGGCCTCATGTTCAGGACGAGTGGACCAACATGTAATGAACGCCACAGGATTTCCTGTGTGCTTTTACTTGGTTATGGTTTGGTAGTGGATTTGGAGGGGGTGGGAGGTTGAGAAAGAACCTAATGTTGCTTGGGTAGGGAGGGAGGACCTAAAAGGACTTGGAGGAGGGGAAGAATAAATTTAAAGTTAAAAAATTGTTTTAATTTTAAAAAGAGACAGGAATAACCTTATCACTGCCTGAGGGTGGGTTGGTTGTATCCCCATGAAGTCCCTGTGTGAAGAAGTGGTACCCAACTTGACAAAGCAGACTCTATCAGCTTAGACAGTAGCCTAGCCCCTGGCACTCCAGGCCTCTCCAATGGCTCCTCTGGGGCCTTTTATTATTGTTTCAGACTCTCCTGCCTCTACTTCCAAAGTGTGGGAATTGGAGGATTGCCTCAACCCTGACTCCAGCCTCCCCTGAAGCCTGAAACCTTTGGAATCCCATTGCTCTCTCCGTCAGTAGCTTCCAGTCCCCATGTTGCCTACCTCGATCCATCTTCCTCCAAACAAAAGACATCATCCAGACACTCCAGGCAAGAATGTTTCATTACTAGGCATGGTAGCCTATGACTTTAATCCTAGCATGCCAGAGGCAGAAGAGAAACAGTCTCTGAGTTCCAGGCCAATTTACTAAATACAGACCATCAGGTTGTATCTATTTTTTATATTTTGTTTAGTGGGGAGGGGGAGGGTGTGTGTGTGTGTGTGTGTGTGCATGACACAGCACTTTCTTGTCCCGCATATAGACTGGAAGGCGCTTTCAGAAGTCTCTTCTGTTCTATGTGGATCCTTGTTAGGCTTGGTAGTGGGGCTTTTTTTTTTTTAACCAAATGGGCTATCACCTACTCATTGTTTACTAATCCTTTTTTAGAACAGACAGCTGTGGGTACTGGGAATGGAACCCAGGCCTCTGCAAGAGCACCCCGTGCTCTTAACTAAGCCGTCCAGTCCTCCCCTACATCCTTAACACATATACAAATGTAGAGAAATAGAGGGTATGAAACAAAATTCTTTACTGCAACCAGATTATATATAGGGAGCACAATGGCTAGGCTTAGATACTTATTAACAAAATAAAACAGATTACTCCTGGACATCTAAAATCCAGTTAAGGCCTGTCAATCCTTTAGGGGACAGGGACATCTACTGGCGATTTTTATTTTCAACTGGACAGCTGGAGGCTAGAAGCCCTGAAATATACATAACAGTCTTACATACATGTGACCTACAAATTCGCCAAGGTGCCATACTTCAGTAATCTTAGCATTTAGAAGGTGGAGGCAGGAGGATTTCAAGGCCAGCCTGGGCAATATGTGACCATGAAAGAGAGAGAAATAAACAGTGATAAAGCAATGTGGCTTAGACTCAATTTCTGTGTTAGCTTTGACTTTGCTTCAGCCATCTTCGATATGTACATGGTACCTCCTAGTCTAAGTGTACTAGATTGAATTCCTCTACCATTCCCCAAACCCCACATAGGAGAATGCATTGCTCATTTTAGGTTGAAATTTTGTACACTAAAACAGACAGATGCCCAGGCAAAAGTAAAGGAGAGAAGACATCTGACTGCTTTCCCTTTACTTTAACGCAGGAGGTAGGAGTCACGGTTCTGTAAAGGCTAAAGGGGCAGAACTGATAGCTCCATATGTATCAGGAACAGATGAGGTGGATTAGGCTGGCTTACTGGCTGTGGTCTACACAGGCTGACAATGGCTGGCTCATGATGAAAAGGCCAAGGATCTGGGAGCTGTTCATCCACAAAGCTGGATGTCTTTGCAGTCCAATCTGGTGCTGCAATCCTAGGTTCCTAGAGAGCAACTGGCTTTCTGTCTACATTGAAATCCTGAAGAAAATGAATATTAATCAAAGAAGGAAGGACAGACAAAACCTTCTCTCTTTATATATGCTGCCAAGAGAAGGCATGGCCACCATTTAGGGTATGTGTTGTGTTTCATCAAGTAATCTGATGAAAAAAATCTCACACCTCACAGGAATATCCAGCATCTTGGGTTCTAGTTGTTACAGAAGTAGTCAGGTTGACAACCAGCTTTCCCATCACAGATGTCTAGAGATCTTGGGCAAGAGGTCAGACAACATAGGGTCTTTCCAGCTCAAGCCATAGGAAAAGAAACTGAAACCAGGTTAATGGTCAAGAAGGACACCAGAACATCCAGGTTCCAAAATCTGGTCATTTCACTTTACAACCACCATGTAAGAAGGAGAAAGTCATTCATTATCATGACCTGACAGAACTCATTTATTTACAAAGTGCAGAATTAGGGCTGGAGAGATGGCTCAGCAGCCAAGAGCACTTGTTCTTACAAAAGACTCATGTGATGGTTCACAGCCATCCAAAACTCCAGTTCCAGGGGATCCATGCCCACATCTGAACTCAACAGGCACCAAGGACATATATATGCAAGTAAATCACCCAGATATAAAATAAATAAATCTTAAAGAAAAAGAAAGAAGAACAAAATAAAAGAAACACAGGATTGTCTTTTGAGTCCTTGAACATTTGTCCTGGGTCCCACTGTTCTAAGTTCAGTCTTTGTGGTCTAGCAATCCTGAACACCATTTGGGTCCCCAAATGAACAGTGTGTGGCCATATGCTTTGGGTTCTCTTCATGAAAGACCTGTTCCTAGGCTTTCACTTCTCAGTATCAAAGACCTGCCTGTTTACTGCTGACAACCACAAAGTTTGGTCTCTAGGTCATAGACACAGCGCTGACAACATTCATGGCAGATATATGTAGCAAAGGAGACGCTCTTGGGCTGCCTTACAGTAATGAGTGTCTCCATAAGCTCAGGACAAAGTTGGGCAAATCTTCCCATGAGGACATCACCACTGTCATCATAGCACTCCAGAGGGGCAGGATACAGCTCCTGGGTCAGCTGGCTCAGATTGGCTGTGTGATACAGTAGGTCCTTCAGAACAGCCATGGAGATGTCATTGTCATAGAAATTGACCCTGGTGAGCTGGGAACACTGGCTCAGGGCAGGCAGGAGGGCAATGAGCTGGGAGTCTACCATCCAACAGCCCTCCAATTCTAGGGTCTGCAGAGTGTCTGCAACACTCTTTAGGAGATCATGGAAAGGCACAGGACGTAAGTCAATTAATTTCACAAGTCTCAGATTCAGGTGTTTGAGCTGATGGAGGCTCTGACTTTGCGACAAGGAATTCAAGTCTAAATGTGAAAGCTTGCACATAGTGATGGACAGGGTCTCCAAAGGGGTCTTCAGGTACCTGGAGAGAGACCAAATGATTAGTTCTGGCACACAGAGATGGAGAGATTTGGTGTTAGGTTTGGCATAGAAGTAAAGGTGACCACTTGTCTTCAGATCATGTGACTATATGATAGAGATCAATATCCTGGATGGAATCTGGACAGGAAACTGGACATCATTAGTCTCACCATTCATGGCAGAGACAGGCCTATCAGTATCAGTATAGGACTTACTTAGTCCATGCAGCTTCCACAACAACCAAGGAGAGAACCTGTGCTGGCCACATTAGCCCAAGGCAGGAACAGGAAGAACTAACCCATGGAAGATCTGGAAACATCCTGAACTGTCTTTTGCATAAATGATGTTTTACCTCCCCAGTACAGCCTCTGTCCTTATTTAAAGTTCTTCACCCCTGCCTCTCATCTACAATGGTTGTAACTCATTTCTACCCATTTCTACTCAGGCCCTACCTGGGCTCAAGAGCCTTTCACTTGTGGGAATTCAGAAGACACATAACTGCTAAGCACAGAATACCCCACAGGGACCTGTGCAAGTGTAGTCCCCACTGTTCAAACCTCTCCCCTTATCTTAGACAGAATCCCAAGGAGGAATACACAATACATGCTTCCTACATCTGACCTACCCAGTTGCTCTTCTAGTAAGGCTGCTCTCTATACATCTCCTACCCAGCCTCTGCTTAATGAGTGGTCATGGAAAAAACTGACTCTCGACTCAGTTAAAATGGAAATAAGACCCTACTCAGATGTTGTAATGACTCCACCACTGTGACTCCACAGTGGGTGACAGACCTCAACTGCCAACTACTCTCTAAAATGTAACAAAGGTAAGTTTGTTGTGGTAAGAGAAACAGCTCTCCATCCTTCCTTACCTGAACAATTGTTTCATGTGCTCACTGGAAAAGTAGATGCCATTCATGGAGAGATGCTGGAGAGAGTTGAGTTTGGAGAACTGAGAAACAAACTTAGTAATACACTTCTGTATGTCCGAGGAGGTATTTAGAACCTTGAAGGTGTTCTTGTGAATCCGTGTTAAAAGAAGTTTTTGAAGGTTTCTCATCTGGTCCAGGTAAGATGCAAAATGCACCAGAGAGGACAGACTCCAACCTGTATTTAGTTCCAATTCCTGGATGCTGTCTGGCTGGAACACCATCAAGACCTTTCTGACAGTAAACACAGGCAAAGCCCAAATCTGCATCTTCACACAGCACAGTTGTATAGAACTTCTTCTCTGCTGGGCCCACTGTAACAAGTATGCTTGGTGTGCACTCAGATGGAACCTGAGGCAAAGGTTAGTGACCACCTTCAAACACCGCCTCAGTTCATATCTATGAAGACGCTTTGCTATCTGCTCTTCACACACAGTCTCTGCTGAGTGGTCTCCATCCTCTGGCCCAACCCAAACATCCCAGAAGTCATGGTGAACATTCCTCAGGTCCAGTACTTGAAGCTTCTGCCTTCTGTGAGTAAAACAGGTATAAGTATCAGAAGATACAAAAGACCAAACAATCACCAGCTTTTCTTCTGTATCTCTGATGCTACCTATTCCCTGCTATCTTATGTATGTTTGTGGTACACAGATGGCACCTCATGACTCCAGAAGAGGGCTCCAAGTATTAGCTGCGTCTGGAGACCTGTTCTGCTTCCTCTATTCAGGTACTCTTGACTTCTGCCTCTTCCACTTCTAACACCTCTGCCAAGAGCCAGGGAAAGACTTATCCCACTGTGGCTACAGCTGCTTTAAGCTGTACTCCATACCCAGCTGTCCTGTATATTGGGAATCAAAAGGGTTAAAGCTTCTGCAATCTTCCAAAATGACACCCCCAGAAGCTTCTGATCTACCTTGACCTCATTCTCCCCTACTCTAAATGTCCCTTCCCTGAACCCTAGTATCCCCCTACCTGGGTCTTGCTTACCTAGGAAGAACCTTCTGTGTCCATAGCATATCTATTCCATCCAGCACAGCCTGTAAGATCTCCAGGTCGGGAGTCTTCATCAGGGTCCCCAGAGGAAGGAAGGGAAAGGGCCACACTGCCACCATGGCCCTCAGGACATTAGTTTGGCTGTGATTGAAGGCTTCCTTGAATAGTAGTGGGAAAAGACCCCTGGGCAAGTACTGCAGAGAAGAGATGGCCAGGGCCTCATTTGTCAGTAGTCTCTGTACTGCCAGCTGCAGGAGTGTGGGTGGGTCCTGGACACTCATCCTTCAGCTCTTCAGTCGGAAGGAACCTGGTGAAGCATACAGGAGGCTAGGTCGTAAGAAACCCTACATCTCACCTGTCTTAGTTAATGTTCTATTATTGTGATGAGACGCCATGAGGAAGGTGATTTAAACCATTTACCTAGGGGCCTGCTGACAGTTTCAAAGGGCTAATCCATGATCATCATGGTAGGTAAGCATGGCACTAGAGCAGTAGCTAAGAGTTTATATCTCATCCTCAAGCACATAACAAAACGAGGGCCTGGCAGGGATTTTTAAAACCTCAAAGCCTACCCCTAGTGACATTCCTTCTCCAACAAGGCCACATCTCCTAATTCTTCCTAACCAGTCCGACAACTGGGAATAAAACATTCACATCACACAAACATCACATGGCCATACCTTCCCAACTGTCCTATCTACATCTAGCCACTGTTCCTCCAAATTCAATTTCTACTGGGAAGGCATAATCAGAAACCTAAAAGCTGAACCTCACCCTTTTACAGCAATGGGGACACTTATCTTTCAAGATGCTCATGGCAAGGTCATGGGAATGTTTCATGCCAAACCTTCCCATATTCTGCCTGTTTTAATTGTTTTTTATGTGCACTGGTATTTTGCCTATATGTATGTCTGTGTGAGATCCTAGAGCTATAGACACTTGTGAGCTGCCATTTAGGTGCTGGGCATTGAACTCAAATCCTTCAGAAGAGCAGTCAGTGCTCTCGACTGCTAAGCCATCTCTCCAACCCCTAATACTTTTTTAGACTTATGTATTTTACTTGAATGCACTTATGTGCACCACATGTGTGCCTGTTGAATCCCATGAAACTGGTACTATGTTACAGATGGTCCTGAGCCATCATGCAAGTGCTGGGAATTGAACCTGGGTCCTCTGTAAGGGCTATTAGGTGCTCTTAACTGCTGAGCCATCTCTCCAGCCCCCGATAGTTTGCTTTTGATGAACTGAACCTGCCTGGGGAAGACTGTTGAAGGTCTGTGAGATGTGGGTGATAAATTATTTCAAAACTCTAGAGCCTGCTGTGGGGTTCTCAGCTCTGTCATACTATTCTAGACACTGAGGCTGGAAGCCACTAAATGCATACCAGCCTACAGTGTCTCACATGTAGAAGCTTTCACCAGCCGTTGTCAAGCCATGCATATACCTGTCTGCAAAGTGTCTAGGAGACTAACCTTGAGATGAAGATGTTGATGCACAGAGACTACACAGAAGAGGATTTCCCATGTTGTTTTAGAGTCTAGAGAAAGAAATAGATGAAAAAAACAAGCAAACAAACAAAAAAAACCCTTTCAGCTACATTTTTAACTTTTTTGCTTACTTATTAAAAAAGACTTATGTGTATGAGTGCTCTATCTGCATGTGCACCTGCACACCAGAAGAGGGCGTCAGATCTTATTATAGATGGTTTGAGCCACCATGTGATTGCTGGGAATTGAACTCAGGACCTCTGGAAGAGCAGCCAGTGATCTTACCTGCTGAGCCATTTTCTCCAGCTCCTTTGTCTATTTTTTGAAAGGAAAAAAAAAAGTCTTGCTTGTACTGGTGTGGAAACGGCTATGAAGTCAGAGCTGTCCTTGAGGGAACTCATATATGTAGCCCAGGCTTGCCTGTAAACTCAGCATCTCCCTGCCTATCTTTGTGTGTTTTGGCTACAATGCCTGGCTAGTGAACTCTAGTTTGAAACTATTCTATTGAGCCTTGCTCAGCACTTTGGAAGAAGAGAAGAGGTAAAAGGGATCCAAGTGGGTTTAATCTTAGTCTGTACAGAGTTTCTGATCAGTCCAAGTTGTGAGTCTCCAAACAAACAAGGAACTAGAGATGTGGCTGAGCAGTTAAGAGCACTGGCTGCTCTTCCAGAGGACCTGAGTCTGGTTCCCAGCACCCACATGGTGGTTCACAGCCATCTATAACTTCAGTACCAGATCTGCCCTCTTCTGGCCACCAAGGACAGCAGGCATACACATGGTGCAGACACATATGCAGGGAAAACACCCATACACAAATAAAATTTAAAAAAAAAAAAACAGCATCAAAATAATTTTGAGGTAACGTTGTTTGGTAGTGGGGTTTGATCCCGGGGCCTAGCCCACACTAGACAAGCACTCGGCCATTAGGCTGCATTCCCAACTTTTTCATTTCATTTTACATAGAGACATGGTCACTTTATGTAACCCAGACTAGCCCGGAACTAGTAATCATTCTCCATTGTGTTCTTAGTGCTGGAATGCCAGAAGTGTGTTAGCAGCCCACCTGGCTTCTTTTTATTTTAATTTGGGACAAGGTCTTGTCAAATTAGCCAGGCTGAACCAACTACATTCCTACAGCTTCAGTCCTCAGACAAGATGAGACTTGTGCCCCATGTTATCAAACCTCATTAATCCCAGCATCAAGGAAGCACCAGAGGCAGGCAGGTCTCTGTGAGTTTGCAGCCAGCCTGGTCTACAGTGCTAGTTCAAGGACAACCTGGGGTACACCAAGAAACCCTGTCTGAGAAAGAAAGAAAGAAAGAAAGAAAGAAAGAAAGAAAGAAAGAAAGA